TGCTACACAGCTTGTCAAATTCAGGTCAAATAACATGTTCGAGGATCCGGAACCAATCACCCTGCCAAACAAATCACGTTTTCTTGAACTGCAGTTTCAAGAACTACAGTTCGCTGGTGAAAAAACAACCTCTCAAGTACAGTGATGTCACTTATTCTGACTGTACCCTCCACGAGCCCGGGGAAACTGTTCTCTGTGGCTCGGTGCCTACTCTGTGTAGGAAGCTGAACCCAGGCTTTAGGCAACTCTAAAAGGTGTGGCCAGTGGCCTAACCCGGTGGGGCAGGGATTGCGGTGTGCAGAGGAATGAGGTGCACCACGGGGAGACGGAAAACTTCAAATACAAAACCCTGTCAGTCTCTCCAGGCTAATGTTCCCTCCAGGGAGTCACTCTGCAGTCATTTCTGAGTGGCAGTCTCTAGAGGAACCTTCAGGCACAGACTGGGAACAGGAAGCCAAACACAAAAACAAAATTAACTCCCTATCCCCTCTTTCCTCCATATCGGTCAAAGCTAAACTCTACTGCTTCCCTGACATCCCGACGTCTCCACTCTACTAAATTCTTCACTGGCCAACTCAAATGCCACCAACTTCCAGAGGCCTTCCGACACCAGGCCAGCGATGACATTACATCTCTAACATCCACCAATTTCTTATTTATCTCAGGAGACTAAGTGCCTCAAATTACCTATCTCTAAGAACGGGTTCGTAAAGTCCACTTATACAAGCAGCAGTGAAGGGATAGGAATCCGGGAAAGCGAATGCGTCCCAGGCACCCAGCCTGAGGCTTCAAGCTGTTAAAGTTCTGAGGGTATCAGAAAGTGGAAGGGGAGGAGCCGAGTCAGGCGGCGGCCAGTGCCACCCTAGGCTGGAGTAAGACCAGGATCCCTAAGAGGGTAGGAGCCCTGCTCGGCGTCCTCTCTGTAATCTGTCCCCTCCAGGCCTCCGTACTCCGTGAGCCTACAATCCGGCTCCCTGCCGCTGCGGGCTTCTTTCTGGGCCCCAATCCCGCGGTCGTAGCCCACAGTCCCAAACCCGCCAGCCGCGCCGCACCTGGTCCGAGTCCTCGTTTTCGCTGCTATAGCAGCACCCCATGGCGGGGTAGGGCCGGGCGCTCAGGCGGCGCCGAGGAGGGACGGCGTCCGTCAGGAGCCTTTCCGGTCACATGACCCGCAGCTGCCGCCAGCTCCCCTCCCCCCGCCCAGCCTGTCCCCAAACCTCTAGGACACCACTGCCAAATCGCGACTTCCGGTCCCGCCCCTCCGCGTGACCATAGCCGACCATTGGAAAAGCGCGTCGTACGTGCAGGACTCGCGGCACGTGACCTGAGGGGCGGGTCACATGATTTTGTTTTCCCAGTCTCTGGCTCTGAAGCCTTCGGTCGCCTGGCCAGAGCGTGAGTTGGAGATCACGTGGTGTCAAGGCCACCTTCGTGGGTACGAACTCTATTAGATAAACTGTTGAGCGCCACGGGAGGGATGCGCTTCTCTCGGGAGCCAATTGCCAGTTTCTTTGTATCTGTGTGACCAAGGTTTCTCCTTGTAACCTGGCTAGCCTGAAACTCGCTATGTAGACTAGACTGGTCTCGAATTTAGAGAACCACTTGCTTCTGCCTTCCGAGTGCTAGGACTACATGTACGTCTGTATGCCCGGCAAAACTGAGTACGTATATGACTGTGAACACGTGTCATGCTGCACGTGTGAAGATCACGGAATGACTTGTGGAAGTTAGCTGTGTCTCTCCACCATGTGTTTTCTAGGGATTGAAGTCAGGTGGTCAGGCTTTCTGGCAGGCGGCTTCTAGCCACTGAACATCTCTAGTTCCGTTTGGCAGTTTCTTGATTAAGGTGAATTATGCCTGCACAGGCAGATGGCAGACAGTCCTCCCTCCACGTTAGGGATTACAGCCCAAATGCAAACCTTTTCTGATCCTATTCTGAGCACTTTTCCTCCCTTTACTTAACCCAGGGGTATTTACTTATTAAATTAGCAAATGCTGGGGCTAGAAACGATTCAGCGATGAGAAGCACTGACTGCTGCCTCCAGAGGATCGGAGTTCAATTTCCCGAAACCCACATGGTGCCTCACAATCATCCAACTCCAGTCCCAGGATAAACGGTGCCCTCTTCTGGCCTCATTACAACATGTACACCGTGTATAGACACACATGCAGATCAACCAGGAATACGCATGATTTTTTTTCTTTTATTGTTTTTGTTTTCTGTTTCAAGACGGTTTCCCTGTGTAGCTTTTGGAGCCTGTCCTGAAACTGGCCTCAAACTCACAGAGATTCGCCTGCCTCTGCCTCCCCAGTGCTAGGATTAAAGGTGTGCGCCACCACCGCCCGGCTGAATACACAAAAAATTAAAAACAGACACCCTCCCCCCCCCCCACACACACACCAAGGACTGGAGAGATGGCTCAAAGGTTACCAGCACTGGCTGCTCTTCCAGAGGTCCTGAGTTCAATTCCCATCAACCACAAGGTGGCTCACAACCTCTTCTGGCATGCTGGTAGAACACTGTATACAAAATAAATAAATCTTCAAAACAAAACCACAAATATTTACTGGTTATAGTGTGCCACTCCTTCACAATTGTAGAATTCCCTAGTCTAGTGATCACATTGAATTTTATTGAGTTTCTGACTTCATCACTTCTACCAAATGTGAGCCACTGAAAGACAGCCTAACTTCTCTGTGACCTATGCCCTAACACTTACAGAAAACTTGGATTTTGAGCTGAGTAAATACGTCTCAATTATTTTGGCTTGTATCATGCCCCATGTCCTGATCCCAAGGGCTTGGGAGATGTCACCAGGCCTATCAGCATTTATTAATTCTTTAAGACCCTAGAGTTCTGCTAAGTTTCTCTAGGGTACCTGAAAAAAGGAGGCAGCTGAAGTTTGTCACTGGGCCTGGTAACCTGAGCTACAGGTCTCAGGTAACAACAGCCTCAGCATCAATAATTGAAATCAGGTCCAGTCTCCTTCTTCAGGGTTATTCCTCTCAAGGACTTCCTATTCCGGTACTCTGGTCTTTTCTAGGAGCCTTCAGCCCAGGTAAGCAGGGCCTTGTGGGTTCCCAATCACATCAATTCCTGCCCATATCACAAGCCTTTTTACATTCATTTATATACTCTAAATTTTAGCATACACTCCCCTTCCAACTAAAGGTCTTGCAACAACAGTCTGCCAAGGTCAGATCTGGGTAGGGGGGCAGTGGGAGGAAAAAGGACAGCAATCCCCTAAAGGGTCCTGAAGAGGAAAGCTGGATAGTGTAAAAGTGGGGTGTGTGTGTGCATGTTTCACTTACGAGGCGAATTCTTAGTGGGGGAAATAGAAAAGCTGAGACAAGCCGGGCGGTGGTGGCGCACGCCTTTAATCCCAGCACTTGGGAGGCAGAGGCAGGAGGATCTCTGTGAGTTCGAGACCAGCCTGGTCTACATAGCTAGTTCCAGGACAGGCTCCAAAACCACAGAGAAACCCTGTCTCGAAAAACCAAAAAAAAAAAAAAAAAGAAAAGAAAAGAAAAGCTGAGACAAGACTGGAGAAAATACATAGAACCAAGGAGGACAAACACCTCAAGAGAAGAGCAGACAGAAAGAGACCTTGGATAGAATTAACTTGGTATAGAGGTTGAATTTATTTTTGAGACAGGGTCTCAGATGTAGCTCACATTAACTTTAAACTTGAGATCCTTCTACCTTGACCTTCCTCATGATTGGGATTACAAGTGCACACCAAAATACCATGGATAGTACTTATTTTGTTCTTTTAAAAGATTTTATTTCTATTTCATATGTATGGATGACTTCTGTGCACCATGTGCATGCAGTGTCTGTGGAGACCAGAAGAGGGCATCAGATCCCCTGGAACTGGAGTTACCGACAGTTGTGATTGACCAGATGTTGGTGTTGAGACTCAAACCCAGGGCCTTTGAAGAGCAATCAGTGCTCTTCACCATAGAGCCAGCTCTCCAATGTTTAGGATTTTTGTTGTTCGGTGTGTGTGTGTGTGTGTGTGTGTGTGTATTTTTGTTTTGTTTTTTGCTAAGGTTTTGTTTTTTTTTTTTGTTTTGCTTATACTCGTGTTCACCACTGGGTGAGCCCTTGAGGGGGTTGGATCTCCTGGAACTGGTGTTATAGATGTCTTTGAACCACCATGTGAGTTCTGGGACTGAACTGAGATCCTCTTCAAGAGCAGCAAGTGCTTTTAACCACTGAGCCATCTCTCCAGAGCTAGGCATAGTGTTTGATCCTTTTAATAAAGTAAAGCATGGTGAGAGCATGACGGATTTGAAGACAAAGCTTTTATCTTTTTTTTGGTTTATTTTGGTTTTTCTTTCTTGAGACAGGGTTTCTCTATGTAGCCCTGGCTGCTCTGGAAAGCACTCTGTAGACCAAGGTAGCCTTGAACTCAAAGAGATCCTCCTGCCTCTGCCTCCTGAGTGCTGGAATTAGAGGCATGTGCCACCAATGCCTGGCAAGCTTTTTTCTTTGGCTACACTATAATGGATCAGAGATTACAGGAGGAAGATACGCCAAGAAACTGATGAAAAGGTCCTGAAGAGGAATGATGTTAGGGAGATAAGAAAATGGGCAGGTGTAGGAACAGTACAGAAATGGATCCTGTCAGGACTAGAAAGGGAGACAGCTGTGGCTGGGTACTAAACACAGGCAGCATGGCATGAAGAGTGCAGAGCACATAGGCTGGATTCAAATCAGTCTCTCAGCCAGGTGGCAGCAGTGAATGCCTTTAATCCCAGCACTTGGGAGGCAGAGGCAAGCGGATCTTTGTGAGTTCGAGGCCAGCCTGGTCTACAAAAGCTAGTTCCAGGACAGGCCCCAAAGCTACAGAGAAATCCTGTCTGAATAAACCAAAACAAAAGTCAGTCTTTGTGAACCATGGTTTGGACGAGTGTGGTAACAGAAACTGATAAAGGCTGCACAAACAGGCAAACAGTACACGTAGGTTTCCCTCCCAGCCTCCCTCTGTCCTAGGACTCAGGTAGGAACAATGTCCCCTGCCATTGCACTGGCATTCCTGCCACTCGTGGTGACACTGCTGGTGAGATACCGACACCATTTCCGACTGCTGGTGCGTACAGTCCTGCTGAGAAGCTTCAGGGACTGCCTGTCAGGACTTCGAACTGAGGAACGGGCCTTCAGCTACGTGCTCACCCATGCTCTGCCTGGAGACCCTGGTCACATCCTCACCACTCTAGACCACTGGAGCAGCTGCTGCGAGTACCTGAGTCACATGGGCCCTGTGAAAGGTCAGCGTTCCCTTCTCCAGCCTTCTGTTCCAGAAATAATCCCAAGATAGTGATCCCAGCACTCAGGAGGCAGGGGCAGGCAGATCCCTGTGATTTCGAGTCCAGCCTGGTCTACAAGAGCTAGTTCCAGGACAGGCTTGATAGCTACAGTGAAACCCTGTCTCGAAAAACCAAAAAAGAAAAAAAAAAAAAGAAAGAAAGAAAAGATAGTGAGGAGAGGAAAGATCTGGTATCTGGTATTCACTGCTTTGCTAGGTACGTAGGAAGCTTCACGCCTGTGCTTATGACTTTTGTTTTTCATTTGGAAATGAGGAGCCTGGACCAAGTTATTCAGTTATCCAGCAGATATTTATTGCCACTCTTTGTACCAGGTGCTGAGGGAGGAGGTGAACCAGCCACAAATGCTGGCCCCAGAGAGCATAACACAGGGGGGAATCGTAACTCAGAACTTTGTAGTTATCTGTACTAGAGTTTCTTTCCTACCAGAGGCTTCCACATCCAACTGAGGATAGCTGTCTGTCTAGACAGCACAGTACTTCTAAGTATTCTGAGACTTAGCCAATTCCAAAATCAAAACCACAATGAACAATAAGGGAGTGCAGGGGTTTGAGGATGAAACTGAAAGTGTCCCAGGAGCCTTGAAGATAAGGGGGTTGTTTTGCCTGAACCCCCCTGGAGGAAAGAACATTTAAACCGAGTCTAGAACGCTTGGATGGAGGTAGGAGTGGGCAAGGGCAGTCAGCCTGTTAGCCTCATGTATAAATACAGCATGAAACAAGCACAGTGGCATGTTTGATACCGGGCACACCTGGTTTAGATCTCTTCTACAACAGCCATCTTACCCCATAGGTCAGATTCTGATGCGGCTGGTGGAAGAGAAGGCCCCTGCTTGTGTGCTAGAGCTGGGCACCTACTGTGGATACTCTACACTGTTTATTGCGCGGGCTTTGCCCCCTGGGAGTCGCCTTCTCACTGTGGAGCGGGACCCTCGTACAGCAGCAGTGGCTGAAAAACTCATCCGGCTGGCTGGCTTCGATGAGCAAATGGTCAGCTTCCATCTCCCCAGCTTGGGGCCAGGTTTCTTTTGGGAAAGTCTCCCATTCAAGGAAGCAGCTCCACTCAGGCAGCTGGCATCCTGGAGGGCATGTTCCTCCTACTCCCTCAATCCCGAGTCATCTGCTCTTATTTTCACGGACTATAACGGCAGCAGCTAAGAGGAAGCTCTCCACAGCCAAGCAAATCTCAGTCCAAATCTTATTGTTCAGTTAGTTGTGTGACCTCAGGTACAGCACATCCTGTGATTCCCAGCTTCTTCACGGCACATACTAGGAATTACAATACTGATGCTGACTACTCAGTTTCTGAGGCCGGAGGAAATGGGAGACACTTGTGCAGGCCTAGACCAGTGCCGGCATGAGATCAGTCTGTCATGGGGGTCAGGAGAGGGGAAGCAGTCCTTCCTATTTTCACCTGCACTATGGCTTTCCCCACAGGTGGAGCTCATTGCGGGCAGCTCAGAGGAAGTGATCCCACGCCTGAGAGCTCAGTACCAGCTGAATCGGGCAGATCTGGTGCTGCTGGCACATCAGCCTCGATATTATCTACGGGATCTGCAGCTCCTGGAAGCCCATGCTCTACTCCCAAGTGGTGCCACTGTATTGGCTGACCATGTGCTTTTCCCTGGTGCACCCCGCTTCCTACAATACACAAAGAGCTGCGGCCGCTATCGCTGTCGCCTCCACCACACCAGCCTCCCAGACTTCCCTGCCATCAAGGATGGCATAGCCCAACTCACCTATGCTGGACCTGGCTGAGATCCAGGACCTGGGATATTTACTGATACAACCCCAACCCCACTCAAGCAAGGACCTCAAAATATCCCCTTTCCCTTTCTGTTTAGTGTCCAGCATATGCTCGGTTCAGGCTGGGGAAGTTTTCTTCTCAACTCGACCTGCCCCCAACCTCCACATCAATCCAAAGTGTCAAATTCTATCAGTCTTCTTGGTCCCACAAGATCCTCTCCTAGAAAACTGGAGACTGCAAGCAGGAGTCCTGAGCCCTTGTTCTGTTATTGATTGCTCCCTCCAGGTGAGTCCTTCCTTCTTCTGAGATTGCTTATTCTCTTAATATTAAGGGCTGGAAAGATGGCTCAACAGTTAAGAGCACTGGCTGTTGCTCCCTATCTGGAGGACTCAGGTTCAATTTCCAGCACTCACATGGCACAGGCACACATGTGATATACATACACACATACATACAAAAAAAAAATCTCTAAGCATAAATAAATTCCAACAAAAAGAAGACAGCTGGCTGGCAGAGCCCCCAGAGCCTCCCAGCTGTGGGACTCAGACAGCTTCTGGATGGAATCAGAGGCAGCTGCAGACAATGAGGCCCCGTAGCACATCCAGGTGCCAACTAGGCCACAAGAATTATCAATCACAGAAGCCTGGCCTCCGATCCTAGCCCACCTGATCCATTAGGTTTGCCTGAGATCCCTTAAATGACCCCTTCCCACTGTCCAAGAAAAGATAACTGGACTCCTCTGGGTCCCACCAACAAACAGGGAATAGACATTGGGGAAAAGAATCAGTCCTGTGTCTTTATTAAAGAGGGTTAGAAAGAGACCACACCTGGCAACCAAGGAATGAGGTACCAGCCAGGAAGGTGGGATGGGCTCAGGCTCTCGGGATTCAAGGGAAGACTGATGGCCTGGGAGGGCCCAAGGAGACCTTGTCCTGGAAGCAGCAGAGACAGTGCCTAAGGGTAAGCTTTAGACACTACAATCACAGCTGGTTCTGCAGGCTGAGGGGCTGAGGCTGTGGATGTAAGATAGGTTGGGGTGGCCTGGAATCACCCTGAGGCCACCTTGGCTTGTCTACCTAGATCATCCACTGGTCCTGATCCTGTTCGTTGCCTTCCATGTCCACCTGAAGAGGAGGCTGGGTGTGGGTGGGGAGGGGCCTCAGCCAGTCTCAGCCCAGATCCTGCCCCTGGGTAGAGCCAGGGTTTCTGCATCCCTCGGCCATCAGTTAGATCGGGGGCAGGAGCCTAGGAACAAAGGCACTCCCTACACCCCGCCTACCTCGTTGACCTCTCCATCATCAGGGGACTCATTATAGTCATTCATCTCATCCATGTCCTGCATGTCCTCATCATCTTCTGAATCCTCTTCACTGTCCTCGTCATCTTCATCATCCTCTTCCTCTTCATCATCATAGTGCTGGTGGGGCCAGAGAGAGTCTGGAGGTCTCAGGGCTACCTGGGCCAGGTCAAGAGCTAGCCTACAGGGAGCCTCCTCCTTTCCAACCCTGCCCACCTTGAGTATGGGAGGCGGCTGCATGACATGAAGGACCTTAATGCTAGGCCTAATGCCTACCCCCTCAAGTTCCCACTTTTGCTGTCTACTCTTATTAAAAACAAGTGTTCTGAGTCAGAAGCAAGGCCATTAAATTAAAATGAAGCCCTGGTCTACTGGGCTCCATATCGTCCCCACCCGCTGGGGCCACTCACCTCTGAGGCTGGCTTGCCAATAGGTACCAGGTTGTTGTCTTTCTCTGCGATGCTTTGAAGCTGTGGGCAAAGGAGTTTGGGGAAAAGTAGGGCCAAGGTCCAAGCAGAGCAGGTCAAGGGCATAGGACTGGCTTACTCTATCCCTTCCAAGATCCCCAAATGTTGAAACAAAGCTTCTCTCCCCCCACACCCAGTTCTCAGGAAGATTCGACCCCCTTTCTCCTGTCATCTGCTCTTTATAAAATTGTGTGTGAAGTCTTTTGGCCTCAGGTTTCTCATATAATTCTGGAGAGAGTAAAGTGAGACACTCAGCCTGGAATATGGCATCTTGTAAGTAATTAAGTTAAAATCATTAAGTCCTGTGATTAAATATAGATAGAATTTAGGCTGTCTGGAGCTTGACAAGTAATCTAGCCCTGAAGTCCTATGTTCCCTCAAGCAGTTAGGGATCCACAAAATAATAACTTCAGCCTCCAAGTACCCAGCGTGACTGATCCCAACTCAGAGAGAAATGCTTTTCCTAAGCAGGTCTCCAGGATAAGGTAAGGTCGTCTCCATGCTGAGCTAGGTCCTCACTCACCCAGGCCTGATGCTGCTGCTCCTGCTGCTGCAGCTCTGTCTCCTCCACACAGGGTCGATCCAGATTAAACCACAGTGTCTCAGTCACACGAGGGAACAGTGACGGGAACAGGGTGGACATGGCCCCTAAGCTGAGGGAGAGGGTCAAGTGAGTATGTTTTGTTTTGTTCTGATGCAGTTGTAATTTGATTTAGGGGTGGGGTGGAGTGGAAGGCAGGAAAAAAGCTTCCCTTCCCTCTCGAAATCAGACAGACCTGAGTTTGAGTCCTGGCTCCATCACTTACTAGCTGTTTGACTTTGGCCAATACACTTAACCTCTCTGGGCCTCAGTTTCCTCATCTGTAAAAATGGGGATAATAACAATTATATCATCCTTAAAGTTATTCTGACAACAAAACAAAATAATGGATAAAGTTCTTTGCCGCTTAAGGAGAGAAGAGACTGGGAGCCAGAGATGGAATGTGGCATTGTGATTATATACAAAATTGGCACTAGCAGGAATCCAGTAAAAGTCTCCTTTAACACACACACAAACACAGACATCATAAAACTCATTCTTTGCTCTTTTGATTAATATCACATCCAACCAGTGCAAAAATGTTTTGGACATGAACCACCTCTCACCGACCAGTCAAACTACACTACTCACAACTAGGAAGCATGGACAAATAGACAGACAATAAGCAGAAGAATGAATGATGAATTGACATGTAAGAGAACAAATAAAATCAACTTTGTGGATTAAAGCTGAAGCGCAGGAAGGCCATCAAGAAGCTGATTTAAAATCTATCAGCTCGTAAGACCCAGTGACAGGTAGGCTTGACTTTATGTTGCACGCTGGGTGGGGTTTATTTAGAACATACACAAGGGATCCTAGTCCAGCGATGTAGCAAGAGCACAGAAAAAACAGAATTGGTGTCCCCCCCCCTTTTTTTTTCCAATGAGATGGGGTCTCATTAAGTAGCCCTGGCTAGTATGGAACTCACTATAAAGACCAGGCTAGTCCCAAACTCACAGAGATCCGCATGCCTCAGCCCTCGAATGCTGGGATTAAAGGCGTACACCAGCCATCACACTCGGCTCTACTCTATCTTTTGTTCTAATCTGATCCACGCAGAACTAGCCGCTGCCATTCCCTACACCAAAGCGTCCCAGGCCCGTGTGACAGGAAAACAGAGCCAACCCTCATCCCAAAAGTACTGACAAAATCTGTATCCTAAAACCCTACCCACCACCGCCCATTCTTTGCTCATTATAATAATAACTGTGAGCTTGACCAACAGGAAGGAGGCAGGGGCGGGTCTCTGACAGGTTTTTGCCCTAATAGGGATGCTAGTCGCAAAAAATGCGCGCGGCCTGGCTGAAGCCAATTAACTGAAAGAAATGCTGGGTGACAGGAAGTGAAACCAGTGAATGACGGAACTTGTGTGATGGGTGGGGCTTAGATTTAAGGAAGCAGCCAATGAGCAGGATGTCGTTAAGCGTCAAGGAGCGGAATAGATGAGTTGCTGGGGAGGCGAGTCAAAGGAACGGGGTTTCTTTGGAAGCAGGAAGAAAGAACGAGCAAGGAGACGGCAATAGCTTCGTTTCCGCACTTACCGCGCCAAGAGCCGACTGCCGGCAGAGACCCGGAAGCACTTCCCCAGGCCTGAACGGAAGAATCCACCAGATTCCGGGACTCACTCGACGCATGCGTCCTCCCTCTCCTTTTGTTTCCCGCTCTTACCTACCAGACCGGAAGTGATGTGACGTAACTTAGCACGCTCTAGTTGGGGGAGGACACTTACGTGCCAGGCCTACCTGTTGGTCCCGCCTGGAATCTCAGTCTCCGGGTTTCTGCAGATCGGCCCCTCCCCCGGCCTGGCGTTGGGTCTTGCGTGCGTGCGTGTCTCTTGTGAATAATGGCTCCCAGAGACGTGCGCGTGTTTGAACGTGTGTGTGTGTGTATGTGTCGCTGCGTTCCGGGACGTCCATTTCCACTCTTCTCAGTCTCCCGTTTGAACACATTTTTTTTTTTTTTTGGTGAGGATACCTTGAACATGCTAGACAAACCTGTTACGGAGCTACATCATATTCATAATACTTTCTTTTTATTTTGAGACAGGGTCTCACTGTGTTTTCCTGGCTGGCCTGAAACTCACTTTGTAGGCCAGGCTAACCTCGAATTCTTCCTGCCTTGCCCTGTACCGGTGTTAAAGGTGTGCACCACCATGCTGGCCTCCTTTGAGTATTTAAAACTATCTTAGGTGTATGAGTATTTGGCCTGCATGTATGTATTTGGTGCCTGGTGCTTGTAGAGGCCAGCAGAGATTGTTAGATCTCCAGAATCCAGCTGGAGTTAAAGAGGTTTGTGAGCGACCATGGTTAGGGTGCTCTGGACGTGGGTCCTCTGGAAGGGCAGATAGTGCTTATATGTTGTTTTCGATTTTAGAGGCAGGGTTTCTCTGCCCAGGAACTCGCTTTGTAGACTGAAAGACCCTCTGGACACCCCCCCCACACACACACCAGGACCTGCAGCTAGCCGGCTCTCATGAGAACATCCCGTTTGCTTAGGGAAACAGGATGCCTATAGTCAGTGAAAGACCCCTACCTAGCAGCATTAAGTTAGCTGCAGCAATAACGCTATTTTACAAGGTTTGAATTTTTGAGCAATATAACTGAAAGCTAGGACAGGGGAGTTCAATTTAGAGATAAGGGCATAGGTCAACTTAGGGGCAGGGGCGTT